CTCATTGACATTTTATTTGCTGTTTATTTATTTTATTTACATCCTGCCTTTATTATTTTTATAAACAACACAAGGTGGTACACGTGTCTAATATTTCTTTCTCCTCCTATTTTGCCCACAATAACAACCCTGTGAAGTGCTGAGAGGAAAGAGAGAAAGAGAGAGAGAGAGAGAGAGACAGAGAGAGGGAGAGAGAGAGAGAGTAGTTCAAGGTCAGCCAGCCAGCTTTCATGCCTAAAGCAGGATTAGAACTCACAGTCTCCTGGTTTCTACTCTGATGGCCTGACCACATTCTCTCTAATTGTGATTAGTACCTACATTTTAGATGTTAGAATCTTTATGATTTTTAAAATAGAAAACAGGTTACTTTGATATTAATAATGAAGCAATTAATGGGTGACATTCACCATGAATGTCACTTTTCTTGCAGAACACGGCTTCATTTTTTATTGTTATTTTTTTGGGAAAAGTCATTTTGACTTGTATTGTTGCCTATACCTTACTTATTCATTCTTGAAGCTAATTTCAAAATGACTTTTGATATTGCTCAGAATTTTGGTTATCTGTCTTAACAGTACTGAAAGGGATCTTATAAAAAACTTAAATGTTTTTATATATTAGGTTGTACCAGTTTTAAACATAGATGACCTATATTTTTCAAAAGTCTGTTTTGGAGGTGATTTTGAAGTACATGGAATAAACCCAATCTGTTGTATCATTTCAATAATGTTACAAATCAACAGGATTACAATACTAACATAATCTGTAAACTATTGAATATTTTCCGTCTGATATTTTTTGATTATATGCACCCTGCAAGTTTTTCATTTACAGCAACACTGGGAAATAAATAAATAAAATTTGGAAAATAAAAAATAAGCTATCTATAGATTTGGACAAAAAGTAAAATTCAGATCTTATACATTAGAGTCAAAAGAAAAAAAATCTTGTATTGGATTCACTTTCATCACTTCTATTCATCATACAAAAGTAAGGAAGTACAGTAATTACTTGAGATGCCACCTTAAGCCTAGACCAAAATCTAATCATGGAAGATAGGCTGAAATTGCGGGGAAACAGAACCATGACACATTCTTTGTAACTAACTTCCAATTATTACACCATCACCTCACCCCCACAACTTAGTGAGAGCACAATTGCATGAATTGGCCCTCCAGCATCTGATTAGAGTTGGGAAGGAATAATTTGAGAATCTGATTTTCGAACTATAAGAATGATGAAAACAATGTAGAGAAACTGTGTAGGTGTCTTAGTGAGAATAAAATTTCTTCATTTGTTGTGCAATGTGGCTGTGCAGGGATGTTTGCAATGTGATGAAATATTTCATGAGTTGAGCAACAACCAAACATGGCCAGGCCTTTATGATAGGGTTGCTGGGCAAGGCCAGAAAAGCATGATATAATTTCAAGATGATGTTGATTGAAAATGCTGTGGTACAGCAATTAGGTGTACTGATTCAGTACACCTATTGCTGTACTACAGCATTTTCATTCAGCAGCAACCATTGGTATTATTAGAGAATCCTATAGCCAGGTTCCAAAAGGCCACATTATTGTGGCCAGTAATACTTTGGGTATTTTGTTTTCAGAAGATTACATGAATTGTGTTTCTTTTTTCAATTGTAGAAGGTTGGAATCCAAAGAGCTGTCTAAAGGACCAAAACTACCATCTGTCCAACAGAAGCTTCATTCAGATTCAGTGTAATTTTCTAAACATCCTCACAATAAATAAAAATAACTATAGGAGCAAATCCATGGTTAGATTAGAGGAGAGAAGAAATAGAAGCATTTGATCTACTCTTTTTCCAAAAGAAAATTTAAACAAAGTAAAATTGATAACAAAGGATAGAAGTTAAGAATATGAAATCCTAAATTAAAAAAATATTTTAGGTATCAACTCACGGGGAAGAGTTAAGAAAACTATTGGCCTTATTCTCTCTGCTAAGCCCCTTGTTAAAAATTATATAACAATGGTAATAGGAATAATTAATGGAATGATTGTTAACAATTATGTAAATAATAAATTTGATGACAATGTCTAAAAGAGTATTACGAGACTCGGCAAAGTTAATAAAAGCGAACATTGCTATTTAGAATAATAGGAAGCAATCAGTTTATTACTGTCATTCACACAAACATGTTTGTTTTTTTTCCAAATTAATATCATTAATTTCAAGACTCAATGATTTAAACAGAAGTCATATAACTCTTCCCGTTATAGTTTTCTAACTCTTCTGAATAGTATAAGTGTAGTTTTGAATATTACATACCCACACACATCTCTTAATGACTATAGAAACACACATACCCTAATGGTCTGAACCTAATCATATTACTAATATAATTCCTTCATAATGAATCTAGAGTTTTTTTCTATCAGTATTCAGCTTTAGACCTGCTCTGCATACTTCCACCTTCAGAATGGAAGGAAAGATTTTTCTTAAATATCCTACTTTCTGCAACCATACCACCATTTCCTTTATTTTCTGGAAGCTGTCCAAATCTCTGGGGCAGGCTTTCAGAGGATTGCAAAGGGAAGGAGTAGCTGAATAAGTATGATTTCTTGCCCACTGTGAAGCAGTGAAAATGTTTTCTTGGATCAAAAATCTTCCATAGACGAAAAAAAAGTTTATTTCTGCAATAAGTTTTTGCTAGATCCAGCCCATTCCTCTGCCTAGGAATACAATGGAATTTCTATGCTTTTCTCTATCTGAATTTCTCCACCTCATTTCAAGAGCTTCAAGATAACCAATACACTGAAAAAATTGTTTTAAGTATTGTAACTAAAAATAATGTTATTTGGGAACATCAGATCATGCCAGATATACATATACCAGTCTCAGATGTTGCCTTACTGCTTAATGTAGTACAAATTAGTCTGCTCAGCACGAGATGTTAGGCAACTTTTTCTACATTATCCAAATGACAGATAGGCTTTCTAAAGAGAAGGAAGTAATAAAGTGTTTTCTACAGAAGTCCACTGCTAGAAAGTTTAAAATTGAGTTTAAAATTGTTATAATTCAGTTAAATTCTGGCAATCTAGTATGGAGTACAAAGTAACAATCACGAGGTAAAGCAGTTATTTAAAAAGTTGATAATTCCATACTATTAACTATGTATTTGTTGATAACTAACACAACTGTGCTTTGTAATAAGAATGTGTAAAAAGTACAAGAAAGATTTATGTAAACACATCACTATTCCATTCAGTGTTTAAAGTTTTGGATTAGTGTTGATGTTGGATGAATATTGTCTGAAGTATGGCTAAAAACAAAAGATAATAGAGGATAATTAGGCAGATGGTACACAAAACAAAATTTCTGAAGTGAGAATGGCATTGTCTAATAAGTGCCAGCATTTACTTATGAATTTTCAAAATTTATAACCCACACAGTATGAATTTTATTCTTCCCTATAGCGAAACCCAACAGTATGTTGCAGAATCATCCTAGCATTTAAAACCAGTATTGGCCACTTGAATATAAAATGCAATCCTGGCTCCTGAAGAATATGTATGTATACCATCTGCAGTCATAAGCATGAAAAAGTCAAACATCCGGTTATCCATGTATTATTTCATTTATCATGCATGCAGAACAAAGCTATTTGCTGATGCATAAGACAAGAAGCAATCTAAGGCTGCAACTTCAGGTAATTTATCTGGGGTTTAAAACCCACTGAACAAAAAGTTATTCTTCAGAATAAACAAGCAACGTGATCATCTTGCTCTACTGTCTTCTTGCACCTGCCATGCCAACCCTAAATGATACCCTTCTGTATCATTAGACACATTTGATATAAATCTATTAGCTACTTTTTATACTTTTCATTCCCTTTTAGAAATAAACTGTCAGTTTGGGATTAGACTTAACCAACTACACCATGAAACTTGGACTATAGTATCAGGAATGATCTGACTTCCATAAAAAAGGCAAACAGACAGAAAGACAAAAAAGAAGGGGGAGAGGAGAAAGAAAGAAGAAAATCCCTAAAGATTTATTAACGGTACATTCCTTTTACAGTCCAAAGGATGCCACTGGATCATCCTTTTAGTCTCATTTCCCCCAATTTGCATTGGCCACTAGTTTTCAGATGTACTGACTATCCTTTTTCAGTCATTCCCAATCAGCATAGGTAGTCAACTTGGCATCTCCACAGACATGAGATTCATGGCTGGTGGAGTTATGGTAAGCATACTTCAGAGTAAGCACTTTCCAAACATTTTTTTTTTTTTAATATAGAGCAGCTTGTAGGCAGCAGTTCTTTTTCCTTGGCATGCTCACAGTTAAAGGGGTCAGTGTTTTAGAACAGGTCTGCAGAAACCACCGCCAGTCCTGGGCTAACCTGGCTTTGATTTGGTACCAGTTTTCAGAGAAAGGATTTAGAAGTCATTCTGAATGCTTGGTAAGCTTCCACTATCTACTCTCATTAGAAGGCTAATACAGAAATTTTTAAAAAGGAGACGGAACAGCATCCCTGGCCACAGACTGAAATGGTACGGCTGTTTCTTCTTTACTTATGACTTAAGGCTCCCCTACCCACCCACCTCCAAATGTAGGGATGAGGAAAAAGCCCCCCCCCCCAATGTCTAGTAAAAAGATTCTGTTTGAGTTTGCCGCCTCCTGTCAGGCAGCCACTGGCTTTAGACAAGATAAGAGAGAGAGAGAGAGAGACACGGAGCCATTTTGACCGTTGTGTGACAGTGACGAGCCAAGGAGGCATTTGGGGAGATGGGGCGGGGGTGGAAGTCCCCCCTTGTGAGCCTGGCTGGGAAAGCGATGAGGAAGACAGAGACGGCGGCAGCAAGCCGGGCCGGAGGAATCGGTCGCCGGAGGTGGAGAAGAGATAAGGCAGGTGCTGCACAGCCAGGAGCGCTAACGGGAAAGCAGGCCAAGTGCCGGCGCATCGGGAGGAGGCTGAGGAGAGACTTAACAAAAAAAGAAAAAAGAAAGAAAGAAAAGGCTTGGCGCTCGTTTTTACCTCGGATGGTCCAGGACCAGCGGTAGAACTCCAAGGTGTCGTTCACCACGTTGGCTATGAGGCCCGGCTCTCCGGAGTGACCCATGGTTGGCCAGCTGGCTGGCAGGCAGGCAGGCAAGCGGGCGGGCGACTTTGCAGCAGTCGGAGCAGCAGCAGGCGGCGGCGGCGGCGGCAGCAGCAGCAAAGAAGAAACCGGCAGGCTTAGCTTAGGTCAGCTCAGAACAAGCGAGTCTCTGGCTCTCGGCCGGGGCTGCTGCTGCTCCCCTCTTTCCAAGTGGAAATGAAATTTAAATCTCTGTATCTGGGTGTCTATCTTCAAGCTCCGCCTCTCCGGAGACGACACCCGTGCCCGGGGCAGGGAGATGGCAAAAGGCAGTAGAACCGGCGCCGAAGCGAGGCTGCAGCACCTTTGGGATGGACCGTAAGCGCTTACGCACGTGACACCACTCTTTTTCCCGCCCCCTCTTTCCGGATGGCATCACCCGGCGCAGGCGCCCGCCCTGCGCATCTCAGGAGAGTCCATTCACGCCAAGGGATGGCCGGACGGAGGGACCGGGTCAATCCCGGCCGCCTTCACTTAGGGTTGAAAATGGAGCCCCGGGTCCTCAAAGGTACCTTGCGGTATCTTGCGAAGGGCTCGCGGGGTGCCGAGGCCCAGGTGGCCTGCCAACCGGGAATCGGAGGCCAGCAAACACCCCCCCACACACACACACGCGTATGGTAGGGGAAGGGGGAGAACCTTTGGGGCATGCTGGATCCCCTCTGTATTAAATCTTCACCTTCTTCCTCTGTCTCTGATCATATGAAAGGCAACAGGCCACAAAAGATACAATAAAGCAATACATCACATCTATGGACAAATATTGTCTTGGCAAGAGCCCTAGAACATCTCAGAAAGGATGTTTCATTCTTCCGCCCACTTGCTTTGGTTCCACCTAAACTTAAATCTTTTAAAGCCTTTAAATGGCACAGCTTCCAAATATGATATACACGGCAATGATACACCAGAATTCAATGTCACCTGGTCCTGTCACTGAGAAAAGGCCTGCTGAAAGGCCGGTCCCATTTTGGGGTGCGGAATGCCCCACACACTTTATGGAATGCTCTCCCCACAAAGTATACGCAGCCTTCGCTTTCTCCCAGTTCTCTATAAATGGATTAAATATATTTTATTTCAAGATGCTTTTGGTTCCAACCTTGTATTTGATCCTTGTTTTTCTTCGTTGTTGATGCTTGTTTGGATTTTTTTACTGTGGCACACAGCCCAAAGGCCTTTGGGATTTCACTCATGTAAAACAAATAAAAAAATATAGGCACCCATCAAAATCCTTGCCTAAGTGTCTTAAGGGGCTCATTTAGGTACCCCGAGCTGTTTAGGACTTTAAACATTAATAACAACACCTGAATTTGAGATAGAAAGGGAATAGATAGCCCACGTTTATTTATCAAAATTGGTATAATGCAGGGGTTCCCAAACTTGGCAACTTGAAGACTTGTGGACTTCAACTCCCAGAATTCTGAGAGTTGAAGTCCACAAGTCTTCAAGTTGCCAAGTTTGGAGACCTCTGGACTAGTGAAACATGCTAGAATTCTTGCCCTGTTTTGAAATTTGCTGACCTATAAAAGAAGCAATGGAGCAGCTTTCCAGGAATAGTTAATCTCTTTATTAATGACTTAGATGAGGGAATAGAAGGGGAACTTACCAAATTTGCAGATGATACTAAGCTGGCAGGAATAGCTAACACCCAAGAAGATAGGCTCAAGATCCAGATGGATCTTGATAGACTAGAGCACTGGGCCATATCTAATAAAATGAAATTCAATGTAGAGAAAAGTAAAGTCCTACACTTAGGCAAGAAAAACCAAAAGTATACATATAGACTGGGTGAAACCAGGCTTAATAGCAGTAACTATGAGAGGGATCTTGAAGTCTTAGTGGACAACCAGCTAAATATGAGCCAGCAGTGTGCAGCAGCAGCCACCAAAAAAGCTAATGCAATCCTAAGCTAATGCAATCCTATTAACAGAAGGATACAATCAAGATCAAAGGAGGTACTAATACCACTCTATGAAGCCTTAGTAAGACCACACCTAAAGTACTGCATCCAGTTTTGTTCACCTCATTATAAAAAAGATGTTGAGACTCTAGAAAAAGTACGGAGAAGAGCAACCAGGATGATTAGGGGACTGGAGACTAAAACATACGAAGAACGGTTACAGGAACTGGGCTTGGCTAGTCTAGTAAAAAGAAGGACCAAGGGAGACATGATAGCAGTCTTCCAGTATTTGAGAGGATGCCACAGAGAGGAAGGGGTCAAGCTATTTTCTAAAGCTCCTATAGGCCAGACAAGGAATAATGGATGGAAACTGAACAAGGAGAGATTTAACCTGGAAATAAGGAGAAACTTTTTGCCAGTGAGAACAATCAATCAATGGAACAGCTTGTCCTCGGAAGTTGTGGGAGCACCATCACTTGAGACTTTCAAGAAGAGATTGGGCTGCCATTTGTCAGAAATGGTGTAGGGTCTCCCGCTTGGGGGAGGGGTTGGACTAGATGACCTACAAGGTCCCTTCCAACTCTGATTATCTGTTATCTGTTATCTGCATTTTTGCCTCTGGCCAGTGCTTATTGGTGGAAAGAAGTACACCTGGACTTCAGAATAAAAGTTGAGCAAAAGGAAGTTGAAAATGGCTGTTTATGATTCTTTTGCAAAGAATCATAAACAGCCAAAACTTTTGCCTTAAAGTTTTGAACCTGAAATCAATTTTATTTTGTTTTCCTTTGAGCCGCCTGCAGCAGTTTTCTTCTTGACTTGGGCCTCTTAGAATCTAGTCCCCCTGCAAAAATCTAGTAGGGGGACCAATACGTCGACTTAATTCTTGACTCTTAAGGAATCAATATCATGTAGTTAGAACTGCATTCTAAGACATTAATTATTTTCACATCTTAAAGCAATAAATTCCATTAAATATGCAGTGTAATTTGGATTATTTGGATGATTACTTATCAATTACATGGTGTGTCCATGTAAGCCTTTAAGATGAAAAACCATTCAATCATGCCAGTATAGTAATACTTGAATCAATATAATCAAAATCCAAATCAGGTTCATGATAGGATCACGTGTGTGTTTGTATATGCATTTTCTGCACACACATACAGCAACATTGTACAAATGAACACTGGGTTTTTAATCAGAATAGTGCTACATCTAGCTTGATATGTGTTTTTCTTCACCTTTTTCTAAACTGGGATTCTAATTGCAAAGAAGCGGGGCACATTAAATGGTCTAATCAGATATTGGTTTAGTTTATCCAATGTTCCTTTAAATTAAAAGGTTTAATAGTAACTACATTAGATTTCTATATTCTTATGGAAATAATTCTGGTTTCTAGAATATCTTCTCATGGATACATATGACCTTTCCACATTTATTCTAGTCTCGTGATATATAGGTAATATTAATGCTATACCTGAAGATTTCAAATCATTCAAATTTCAGCAACCTAAATCAAATACACTATTCAAAGTACATTTTTTGCTCTGTTAACGTCAATTAAACTAAATGTATATGGGCTACCATATATCAACCCTTTACTAAAGAAGAATTATTCCAAATTGCATTGAAAGGAGAAGAAACACTCCTCACTTCAGTGATAAATAGTGCTAATAAAAAAGAAAGAAAGGTACAGAAAAGATTATGAGGAGTCCCTGATCAGAGGTAGTATTCAGCAGGTTCTGACCAGTTCTGGAGAACCGGTAGTGGAAATTTTGAATAGTTCAGAGAACCAGGAGTGGAAATTTTGAGTAGTTTGGAGTACCACCTCTGTCTGGCCTCTCCCCCATCTATTCTCTACCTTCTCCTGAGTCCCAGCAGATTGGCTGGGTCTTCTTTGGTTGCCCTGCACAGGAGAACGAAGCTGTAAAGCAGGTTAGTGGGGTAGAGAGGGAATTTTGCAGTAACTTTCCCCTGCCATGCCCACCAAGCCACACCCACCAAGCCATGCCCACAGAACCGGTAGTAAAAATTTTTTGAATCCCACCACTGTCTAAGACTGAATGGTAGCCTGAGTAAAAGCTTCCTTTGCTTGTTGTTGATAATAAAAAAAGATACTTATCCAAACTATTCTATGTGTGTCTACAGCCTGTGGGGAGGGAGCTCCATCTAAATACCTTTTCCTTTATGACTGAGCTTCATGGACACTGATATATCTTACATTACCTGAGATAGAATAAGGACTGATACATTTTTACACTGAAATTAAGCTTTAATGTAAAATTATCAATTAACAATGCTAGGGAAATATATTTTCTTGACCATTCCATAACTGCATAATGAAGTTGAATGTAGAGTTTATGACTAGGATAGATGGACTAAATGGAGCTATCTTGTATAATAGCCCAGTTTGGGCAACATCGTTTCTCCAGATACCCATTTACACTTGTTTCAACCTTATCATAGTCACCACTACCATCGCAATCACCTTCTCCTATCCTGAATGTTCTGAGTTTTATAATCCTTGCCTATGTTGCTGTCATAAAAGGCCACCAATCCCACAGCTACTCCTCGGCATTGCCAATTAGTTACCTTAACATACCATTCTATTGCATAAAGCTTGACATACTGTAAGTAATACTTTGGGAGTAAGCAATGATCCATCCCCTGTTGTAACATTCACTATACCTTAATTAAGATGGCCATGAATGTATGTATCTCAAGACCAGATCAATGTTACAAACACAGGGAAATTATTGGCAGCACTTCAAATAATTCTTTCAAAATAATTTTCTCAAGAGTGTTAAAGACACAGGAGACTTCCGGTTTGCAGGGCTTCGGCGGTAAGCAGGAATCCACGATCATGCGTGGTTTCTGCCTGGGCTCACCGCTGGAGCGCCCCGAGCCAGCTGGTTTCGGGGCTAAGCTACCCTGTAGAGGTGGTGAAGAGGGGGAAGATCGCCAGCGGGGTCGAGGAGAGCTGCATCTCTCCTCCTCAGCTGGTCAAACTCCCTTTCCCAAAGGCGGTCGGAGCAGTGGTCAGAAGTGGCCACCTCAAAGAAGCACTCAACCGGAGAAGAAAGTGCAGGAGGAAGATAAGAAGTGAACATTTTGGCTGACTGGGATAAAAAGCAATAACTAAGTCAACCTGGAATTTAAATTTTATAAAAGATAACATCGCTCCCAAAGAAGAGTCGGAAGCAGCAGAAGAAAGTGAAAAGGGAAAGTTTTTTTTTCTTCTCTCTCCTTCCTCACATTGACAAT